ATTAACTTAAATTGTTAACATTTAGAAAAGGAATTTGACTAAATATATCAAGCTATTATAGTGTGTGAGTCAGTTTCATGCATTAGTTCTACTAAGTTGACCTATCTTAAACCATTCTTTTTCATATGAAGTGTTCTTAAAAGGTTATTTAAAAATGTTAGTGTAAAATGTTGAAATTAAGTTATTTAACTTGAACCCATCTTTTTAACATCACTTTTTCTAAATGACTGCATGTGTGGTCATTAAAAAAACAGTCATTCATTCAAGAAAAAATTCATAAATGATGTATTTTATAACCAGACCTCAACAAAAACATTTCTCCAGTACAATTAAAGTCTCATCACTCAAACCCATAACTTATGTATAGAAAAATAAAATAAATATGTTGCTTAATATTAATGTCACAGTAACATGAGGTAAAGACTAGAGAAGGCATAGTTTCATATTACTGGGCAGGTGGGTTTTAAACACTCGACCTAAACATATAAATAACAAAACATGAAAACGGCTATTTTCTATTGAAATTGCCGTTGTTTGTGCATGCAAGTGGAACAACTGAGAACATGAATGTAAGAAAATATTTTAATCCAGCTCATTCCTGAGAGCCTGCAGCTCAGGTTGAAGTTTTCCTCCAGCATTCAGGTTTAAAACGACGACATGGGTAAAATGAGCTTTTCAGGGCAGCTCATACAAAGATCATGCATCAGTCCAAACAGTCAGCAGTGAATATGGCCAGGATCCGTGGAACATCACTAACTGGTCCTCAAGGATAAAAGAACACACGAAGGGAACTTCCTTTACAGCTGCCTCCAACTCATGTTCAGTAAAATCATGTAACCACCACAACTTTACGTGTAAGTAGGGAAAAAAGGAAAACGCACAGATTTAATCTACAAGATTTTTTTTATTATAAGCAATTGTCACTTCCAAGTAAATGTCTCAAATAAAAGAAAAAGATAAACAAACCACAACAAGTCATTGTATAAGTGTTGTCCAAGTCCTCCTCCAGGTGCAGTAGCAGGTCAGCCAGGGCTGCTGTTCATTCATGTCCTGTTGAGTAAATATAAGTTGTGATTATTTAGGATTTCAGGCTCTGTTTAAATGGTAAATGGTAAATGGCCTGTATTTGATATAGCACCTTCTAGAGTCCTGGAACCCCCCAAGACGCTTTACAACACAATCAGTCATTCACCCATTCACGCACACATTCACACACTGGTGGGGATGAACTACATGTAGCCACAGCTGCCCTGGGGCGCATAGACAGAGGCGAGGCTGCCGAGCACAGGCGCCACCGGTCCCTCCGACCACCACCAGCAGGCAACGTGGGTTAAGTGTCATGCCCAAGGACACGACAGAGACGGACTGAGCGGGGCTCGAACCTGCAACCTTCCGATTACGGGGCGAGCACTTAACTCCTGTGCCACCGTCGCCCCGTGTTTAGGATATATGAAGCATTTTTTTACTTGTTCTTCAACTTACTTTTAGATGCCACATTTGAAGAAACCAAGCAAAGCTTTAGTTTTTTTCAAATTTTGGTCCATAACTTTAACTGCTGAATCCATGTTGTTTGAAAAAGAAAGCCAGGTGAAGTACGAGACCAACATTGTTTTTGAAAGAGACTTGTAATGCGGAGAAGACAAAATTCTATCAATTAATTTTGAAATGTGAAGGGAATATAAATAGTACTAGTAAAAATTATGAAATATATATATACATAACCATTTTACCTTGATTCCCAGTCACTGCTAAATCAAAGTTCAACATCCTTGTCGGTAGGAGGTTTGGGCCGTGGTCAGCTCATGGCCTGGACACTCCTCTGAAAAACAGGACAATGTAAAATACAACAAATCAATCAAACACTGTTTAGTGTCATAGTACTCCGAGTTTCTGTAGCTCACATTAGAGAAATACCCTTCAGACAGAAATGGTTGACATTTATTAACTCATTCCAAATAGATGCTTACATTGTTCTATAATAGAATGATGTCTTTATTTTCAAACAAAAACATGGCTCTAAAAGTTGTTTCTATAATATAACGTAGTAAAATTCATGTCTTCGTTGTCAAAGAGATTGTCTTCTACTGTATAACAAACTTTAGGCCAAATTACTCTGTGAATAACATTTTAACAACATTCAATAGCATTTTGATAAATAAAAACATTTCAACCATAAAGCTTTTAGTAACCTGCTTGTTGTTTTGCAGATAAGCCAGAGGCCACACAGCATATTAAACGTTAGCATCTTTAAGCTCGCCACAGCTTTGGTTTGTGAATTTACTCGGGAACTAAAACAAGGACACAACAAAATGCAGCATAACTATTAAAAAAACAGTCTTGCCTTAAATTAAAAAATGGTTGTCAGTCGTCTTTTCAGTCAGTTATGATGATTTCTTGCTCCTCGCCATTCAGTGCAGAGGGAAAATGGTTCTTCGGGCTGGGCACCTTATGGCAGGTACACAGGGTCACCTACCCAATTCAGCAGGGCCTGCTCTTTTAACTGACTTAAAATGAGTTTAGGAACATCAGCCAAAATAAAATAAGTACATCTAACAAAATTCAGATGTTTACGTAACACTTGGAACACTGAAATAACGGTCATGAACTCAAATCTAAGAAATAGTAATTGAGTTAGACACTTTTGGGTAAGATGAACTTCATAAGTCAGTTACTGCAACTTTTGTAGGGAAATAGTTATTTGAACTCACTTTGTTTTAATAAGATATGCTGTTATGTTTTACAGTGTAAGATAAAGCATCTCCAAAGGGTTCAAATGAAGGCAACTGGACTCCTTCAGTTTCTTGAAGATGTCACGGTTCTCATCGAGGAGCTTTGTCAATTCTGACTATTGAATTTTCTAGCATACCTGATGAGATTTTATAATTTAATTTATTTGTATTAATTATGTTTAATTACAAATTTATATTATTATGCCATATTTTGTGTCTGATTTTGTGAAGAAGCTTGATAAAGTGTGTTTTTAGTTTGGTAAGCACCTTCCTCAGTGGAAATGAATGCACTGGGGGAGAATGGAGACCTTACCAAGTTGGTGGCTGGCCATTACGGCAGCTCCAATAGGCAGCGCCAGTTCGCAGGGCGTCTATATGTCTGTGGTCTACGTATGAGGGTGGGGATGCACTTTATTGTCAGTCACTGCTGTCACAGACTCAAAGAATGAATGAATGCAGCATCGACCCCTCTTGGTCAGCTTTGCTTTCAGTTTTAGCACATTTTCCAAACAGGAAATGTGGATGGAGTAAGGCTGTAGTAAGGGGGTGACTTACTCTTTAACATATGCATTTTTTTAGTCTGACAAACCAGAGTACCTTGAGAAAACCCGTGCATCCATGGGTAGAACAAAAAGGTCACTGCAGGAAATAGAACCTGCAACTTCCTTGCAGCGAAACAACAGGGCCAAGAACTGCAAAACCATGCAGCCCAGCAGCTAGTTTCTGCTTCAAATAATCTTAAAATTACAATTAAACATCCTTGTATTGTTAAACTAACTGGCTTGTAATAGCTGATTAAATAATGAGCAGCAATTCAATTCTTGGGATTACAAGAAATTTTATGTTTGCTGTGACTAGCCGTTAGCTCATCAGTCCTGTCAGAAACATTCTGTAAACTGAGTTAAACACCAGCTGCAATGTTCATTCCTCACACACTTTTGCACAGAAACCGGTATTTAATCATCCAATCGTTGATTTGACGTGAAGAAATAAAAGAATCACCAGATCTGAAAAGTGAGCGACGGGAGTCTAAATGAAAAAAAAAGAACCCCGTTTGTAAGAAAAGCATCACAGACAAAAATCCAGATTTGCCTCTACAGTAGTTTTCGTTTTATTGCTCAACTTGAAACCAGTTCAGCACAGAAAGGAGTTTTCCTCCAAAGTTGTTTATATAACGAAAAAAAAAAAAGCTTCAGGATTTCCTCTGAATGTTTTGTTGCCATAGAAACCCATTCATTCAGTTTTTAGCACTCTGATGAAACATTTATCAAGTGGACCAGGAGCTCTTTTCTCTTACAGAACAAACCGTAAATCCGGGGATTCATCTGCATAGTTTAATGAGGAAAAGGACACAGAACACAATCTGGCCGCTGATGTGGATTCCGAGTGCTTTCAGGTGGTTAATTGCATCTCCAGACAATAGAAACAAAGAATCCATTACATCTGCGCTCAAGCTGAGCCAAAATGGAGCCTGTATGGAGGGCTTAGCACACACCAAGGTCAGTGAAAGGGAAAAGATAAACATTTAAGGAATGATTACAGCAGTGTGTGTGTGTGTGTGTGTGTGTGTGTGTGTGTGTGTGTGTGTGTGTGCGTGCGTGTGTGTGTGTGTGTGTGTGTGTGTGTGTGTGTGTGTGTGTGTGTGTGGGTCTCTGACAGCCGTCCCTCCCAGGAGAAATAACCCGAGGAAGAAAGCTCTGAAATCAATGATCAGAGCAATCATTTAGCAGATCTTAACACACACTTTGAAGCAGGGATTTCCCTCACAACTGCTCACACACCATTTGCATTTCGGCTGGGAGAACACACAGCGTTTACAGCTGGATGCAAGATGCGTCATGTGGCCGAGTGCCTCTGCGAGGAACAGTGATGACAGACAGACTGGCTTCATGAGATGTAACAGTCCTCAAATGAACACAGAACGGCTCTGGGTAAAAAGTGCTCCTGCTGAACGTTAGTAAGCTTCTCTGTGTGTGTGTGTGATTTCCTGCACCGTTTGCTCTTGTTCTGCCACGTAAGTACGTAATAAACTGCCACTCTTGCTGCTGGGTTAGTCTCTTAATATAAATGCTTGTCGGATTAGCTCGTGAGAGTTTCACTTGTCACTCAGGGACAGCTTTTACAGTCACACTGACTCGTTTCCATCTGTCGCTGACATTCCTTACATCATTTGACCCTTAATGTGATTAAGGTCCTCCTCGTCTGAGCATGCTGCTCCCTAAATGAGCTCATCTGGAGAATGTATTTACATAAAACACAAAACAAAGCAGAGATGACTAAGTATTTTATTGTGAAAAGCCTTGAAACACGTCAAACTGGTTGATGTACCCATCTACATCCTCGGCTGTTCTGTTCTCTGTGCATCTTTAGAATAAAGAACACAAACACACCTATTAAAGGAAACGTGAAATAAAGTCCTAAAGGTAGATTTATTCATTTAGACTGGTTATGTTTGCAAAAATAATTGTAAAAATGACACAGTATGTAAAAACAAAATAATCCTTCGGTTGTGCTGAATCACTTTATTTTCTGAAGCGGATTGTGTTTATTCTGGTCCGTGTTGTTTGGGATCACTTCTTCTTGTTCACAATGTTGTTACAAATCCAGTTCATCCCATCCTGTTGGAGCAGCAAAGAGGTCGTTACGAGTTAGAACTGTCTAAACTCAAAACATCTGGGGATCAAAAGAAGTTACACCCGCCAAACTCAAGAAACTCGGAATCGTAAAGAGATTCTATAACAAACGTTTCAGTGATTCGTTTTTCCACAGCAGAAAGCCACTGGACGTCTGTCTGAGGTCGATTAGGCTTCACGTGTTAGAGAAACAGGAAGTAAGAGTGTGTTGCTGACCTGAACTCCTTCCCCGGACATGGCCGAGCAGGCCTGGATTTGCCACTGGCGGTCGCGGTACGTGTGCAAGTTGAGTCCCTCAGCAATCTCACTGGCCGGCGACGCTGTGACCAGATCCTGCTTATTAGCAAAAATCAGAACTGGGACGCCTTTTAAGTTCTCTTCATCGATCAGCTCAGACAGCTCCTGTGGACAAATAATATTAGCAAAATAAAGGACATTTAATGAGTCTCACTTCTTTATCTAAAATTCCCATTTAGCTTTTTAAATAACTTTTTACTAATTATGCTGAGAATTTGTTACAGGTTTTATTCTTGTTCACTGTAAACAGTCTAATGACTTTTAGCTTTACTTCCTGTTTTATTTTGAAAGAGTTTGCATCCCTCTGATTACATTTACTACCTTTTTCAGCCTCGCATTAGTGAATCTTTTTAGGCTCTTAGCTTTCTGTAGCACATGTCTCATTTGTTGAAACTATATTTTTATTATCTTTTAGTTTATTCCTCTTCCTGTAAATTCTGGTTTCCTACATTTGGCTCCATCAACTGACTTCATCTTCAAGTCATAGACGTAAAAAAAAATCTTATGTTAGTTTTCTAAAGTCACAAACTCACAGAGGTCAGATATGTAGGAATAATTATTAAGTAAATAAATAAATTAATTAATTAAAGATTTGAAATTTTCATGTTTTTAATACAAAAAAATTAAGGACGATCCTGTTATTATACAGGTGAAACTAGAAAAATGAGAACATGGTGCGAAAGTCCATTTATTTCAGTAATTTAACTTAGACTGAGAGACCATCTAAAGGCTCAGGAACTCTTTGCAGGTGTTCTGGATAAATCAGCTGATTAGAGTGTGACACTTTGAGTCTAGAAGATTGAACCTTTTCAGTGTGGGTTTTCATCAGCTGCAAGCCAGGATCATCACAGTTATAACAAATAAAGGCTAAAACATCTGGCTTTGCGTGTAACGAGTCTGTCTCAGATATTGGTTTAATCTTTTAAGTTGAATTACTGACATAAATAAACTTTTGCACCATATTCTCATTTGTCCAGTCTCACCTGTGTGTGAACATGTATTAAATATAAAACACAGGATACCTAGAAGTTGACAACTGCTAGCAATCTAATTGTTATTTTAACAAAATTAACATTTAGTGAGAAATGTAATCTGAATTCTGCACATTTGTTTTAGAGGAAAATTAGCTCAGCTTGATATAAATTTGCCTTTATTTCTTGTGAGAATAAATTTGCAGCTCACCAGTCCCGTCTCCTCAAACCTCTTCTTGTCTGCGCTGTCGATGACATAAATCTAAAAAACGAAACACACAGCAGCCATGTTTTCTCAGATTGAAAGAAGAGTGAGCAGAAATGTCAGAGGTGGAGAATCCACAGTCCAGTGATCTGCAGCGTTTTTACTGCTTGGCATTATTTCTCCCTTCTGTTGATCTGACCTAGAAAACCTGGAGGCCTTTTATCCAATCTCAGCTGGTGAGAAAAACTGATGCATGTCTACCGTTCTCTTTTGTTTTAACTCTTCAAACCTTAAGAAACTCAACACTTGAACCAAATGAAACCACTCACTAAGAGGTCTGTGTTTTCCAGGTACTTTTTCCAAAAGGGTCTGATCTTCCTCTGTCCTCCGATGTCCCAGACATTGAGTTTCATCCCGTGGGAGGCGACACTCTTTATGTTGAAGCCCTAGGGAAAACCACAACGTAGAAGGTCCAACAGCACAATCGGTGTTAAGATGTTTACACGGATGGAGTCGGCGTGTTGATCCGTAGCCAGTTTTCATAACATCTCCTCAGTGTTTGAGTTGTGTAAGGACATTATCCTGAAGGGGCAGCCCAGGAGCAAATCTGAGGATAAGGCTAGAAGGATCAAGTGAAGCGTATGGACTAATGTGTCAAGTCCGATTTGAGTTTTGGTGCCTCGACCTGCGACCAGCTGACACGCTGCTCCGGCTTTCTGGCAGAACATCAATTATTTTCTGGGAAGAGTCAGATGAGGGCGTCAGATAATGACATTAGAGATTTGATAATGACATTAGGGCGAGATGACAGGAACGGGGCCTCCGGCACAATGCCAGGATCTCACAGGAAAATGTGCAGGGAGCATGCAAATCGAGACACGCTGAAAGTTATTTAACTGCTTGATCTGACGTCTGACCGCAGATGATTTAGAGGCGAACTCATTTTTGTAAAGCTCCATTCAATAAAAACTTTTTATCCTCTTACAGACTTTTTTTTTTAACTTGCACCCTACCTGCGTAGGCGTGATAGTGTTCACGTCCTCGGAGGCGAGGCTCTTCAGCAGCGTGGTTTTTCCGGCGTTGTCCAACCCCAGGAGCACTATCCTGACCTCCTGCTCCGTGGATCCCTTCAGCTTCTCTATGACAGAGAGTAAGCCCTGCAGGGAGCGGGGTCACAAGGGGTCAGGCAAAATGAAACAAAAAAAAAAAGGTGACGGCAATGTGAAGTCATGAAGTAGTAAACCATGCTGTGACTGGACATGGATGATAACATCTTACCTAATTTTATATTTCATTTATTGGAAAAGAATCCTGTCTCTGCCCCTCAGGTCAGGTCAAACATGCCTTCCACCTGCAGTAAAATCCTTCTGACCTCTTTCTGATTTGAGGTCAAATCTCTTCTCTTCTAACAGCGTTTGTTCCACCCAACAGTCTGCCACCCCTATCCTGTGAGAATTAATCTGATTTAGACCGAACTGAGTTCCCTTCATTTAACAGTAGACTGTTTAACATGATTAGTCTGCACCAGAACTGCTGACATTTGATTCTGATGTGACTCCTGTGATTAATTTGACATCAAAGAGGCAGATGTGAGTGAATAATCACATTCGTGCTGACACAACCGGAGCGGCTTAGATGATCCATCCTGGCTGAGAGCAGCAACCACAAACAAAATGCCTTCAGAAAAAGCTTCATGGATTATTTTATTGGAGTCAGAAGCAACGGTCAGCTCACGTCCGGCAGTCTGAGTCGTGCCGTTGCAGATCAGGTCACCTACCTTTTGAGCTTCTCCCATCTTTGGGGCGTGTGTCCTGCGGCGCTGGCTGAACGGCTGCAGCTACATTCTCCTCTGGAACTCACGGGTGTGGAAGCTCTCCGGGCAAACCAGACAACAAACCAGCTGCTGTTTACTCCCTCGTCTCACCAAACCCCTATAGGTTAAGTGATAACGTCTACCTAGGCGTCAATTGTTCCTTGGAGCCACAACAAACAGGAAGAGGGGGGATGGGGCCTGGATTAAGAGGCCAGAATTAGCCCTGGTCATCCATGCACAGGCCACTCCATCCTCCCTCCTCCCCTTCCTTCAAACACATCCCTCCATCTCCACTTTGCACAGGCTTTACCTAGATTATCCCTTAGCCACCTGCTATAGGAGGAAACTCACACAGCCCAACCCATTCACACAAATATATAAACACAAGTCTGCCATTTGGCTGCTGAGAGAGGAGGAATAGAGCTGATGTGACACTCAAAGCAGCACCGCAGCACAGAAAGGGTCAGATCACGGTGCTGAATCATTTCTGATCGTCAACACTCAGATCCAACATATAACTCGCTCCATGGAGAGAAGTGGATGGAATTATTGTTCCATATATCCATTACAGACCAGCCGCTGTTAATCTGCTCTGTGCGCTCCTGTGTGTAGCGCATCTAGCGGGATTAGAGAGAATCTCCATCCTGTGTCTGGATTAAAACATTTCAAGGCTCCTTTTCTTATATAGATGCCACACTTCAGCACGCAAACAAGCCCAAAACACTCAGAAGACTGAGACTATTAAAGATTTTATTTTGCAATCAAGCAGAAGAAAAAGAAGCTATGAATCAGTGTGAATGAATATACATGATATCTGGGTAAAAGAGGGCATGGTCTCCTTCAGTAGCCTTGTTGTGTGTTCTGTTGTGCCCTCCTCTGCTGCTGCCTCTCTTTGTGCTTAGCTGTGAAGAAGAACAGGGACACCATCATTCATTTAACCAAAGCAAAACAGGGTAAATCACCACAAATAATCCAAAAACAACATTTTGGGTAATAAAGATAGAGAAGAATACATTTCTAAAGTAAACTTCTTGTGATGCTGATGACAAAAAAACAAACAAAAAAAAAACATCGTTATCGTAACAAACCAGGCAAACCATACAAAAATCATAATTCAATACAAGTTCTCCTGCTTCAAAAGATAAGAGAGGCCTATAATTTTCATCCTAGGTATACCTCAACTAGGAGAGACAGAATGATAAAAAAATCACATTGTCTGATTGTTAAAAATATTATTTGCAAATTATGGTGGAAAATAAGTATTTGGTCTCTAAAAAACAAGCACTGTCTCACAGGCCTGTACCTTCTGTAACTAGCTCCCCTGTCTTCCACTTGTCACCTGTATTAATGGCACCTGTTGGAACTTGTTATCAGTATGAAAGACACCTGTCTACAACCTCAAACAGTCACACCCTAAACTCCACATATGGACAAGATCACAGAGCTGTCAAAGGACACCAGAAACAAAACTGTAGACCTCCACCATTCTAGGAAACCAGCTTGGTGTGAAGAAATAAACGGTGGCAGCAATTATTAGAAAGTGGAAGAACACAAGACCACTGATAGTCTCCCTTCTTCAGTGGCTCCATGTAAGGCCTCATCCCGTAGGGTCGAAATGATCACAAAAACGGTGAGCAAAAATCCCAGAAGTACACGGATGGACTGGCCTGCAGAGAGCTGGGACCAAAGTTACGAGGGCTAACATCAGTAACACACTATGACGCCAGGGGCTCAAATTCTGCAGTGCCAGAAATGTCCTCCTGCTTAAGCCAGTACTTGTGCAGGCCCTGGCTGTTCTGGGAATCTCCAGAATTCACAGATGGCCAGTCCACCACCATTAACATCACATTAGGTCAGTAAACTGGCATTGAAGGTCCAGTTACCAAATACAGGGCGCCACAGCTAAAATCATGTTACCACAACCTTTATGGGTCATAGGACATTTTTGTTTTGTCTTGGTGCTTTAGATTATGTGGTTTCATATATTTTTCATTACAAATGATGAATGATGGATATTTAACATGCACATGTTTGCTTTATAAACTTTTCCCATGAGAAGGTTAAAGCTGCGGTGAAACTTTGAAAAAGTTCTGAGAACATTTGAACTCAGCTAATTTTAGCTAGCCGTTAGCTCACCTAATCTCTGTTTCTCCAAACCAAGGCCATTCAAAGTAGGGGTGGATGATACAGAAAATCGTTAAATAAATAAAAAAAGTATATATATATATATATATATATATATATATATATATATTTCATTAACCCTGTAAAGGGTCATTTTAGCACATAAGAAAATTATTTAAAAATATGAAAAAGTTGTATAGTATGGCTTTAAGTAGCATGCTAGGGGCAGCAGTAGCTCAGGTGGTAGAGCAGGTTGCCTCATGGTTGGAGGGTCATGGGCTAGATTCCAGCTCCCGCCAGGGGTATTCTGCTGTTGTGTCCTTGGGCAAGACACTTCACCCAACTTGCCTGTGTTGGAGGTGTTCAGAGTGGCAGCCTGGCCTCTGTCAGACCATCCCAGGGCAGCTGTGGCTACATAGTAGCTTACCATCACTAGCAGTGTGTGAATGTGAGTGCATGAAAGCATCTTTGAGTGTCCTAAAAAGCGCTGTATAAGTTGTAAGTATTCTTCTTCTTATTATTATGCTGTCTGTTTAGGTTTGAGAGGAAAGGGTTTGGTGATGGAATGTGTCTGGGTCTGTGTTTTTCATTGGCTGGGAGTATCCAATCGGGTATAATGAAAATCAAATGGAAACTTTTTATTGAAGGTTTTATTGACTCTTTTTACTATCACACTTCTATTGATAGATATATATTGTTGTTTAATTATTGTTCAGCGCTAATGCTGTCAGCTGCTATCAACTACAGGTAAGATGTTCATTACCCTTCACGTAAACCCACTTCTACAGACATGAACTCTCACGTTCAGGTAGAAAACAACATCAGTTTGGTTTCTGTTTTAAGTTGAAGCTAACTCAAATAAATTTTAAAAAGAGACTTTCTGACTCTTCCTTTAAAAGGAAGAACATTTGACATGAAAACATATAAATAGTGAACTTATTTAGTAAAGGTTTATTCATTAATTTGTCTGTAAATTCTCTTTTTCACAGCCTGATCATGTGACCAGTTTCTTGAGTTTCAGGTAAAGGCTTTTAATGTTTTGATATTTTCTTCTGATTTCCTGATTGGCAGACACCATATTTGTCATGATTATTAACTCATTACTACGTAATAACATTTGTGCTCTCCACGTGAGGATGCTTACAGTCATGCTGCATTAACCCCTCGACTCTGATCCAACATCTGGTAGAGCACATCCTCATTCAGGACTGAACCTAAGTGAATAAAATTTAAATCCCGTGGGGCTGTTGCAAAGAAAAAGTTATTATAGTGTTATTATTGCCATAAACATGTATAAATGGGAAAATGCAAATGAGAAACATGTCGTGGCTTTATTTCTGTTGGTCATTAAAGGGTTAAGAATGTGTCAGGTGTGAAAATTTAAATCATTTGTCTTTTTTGTATTTGAACTTGTTATTGCTCTTTTCAGATGAAGTTGAGAGTCAGAAGAATTAAACATGATCAGGATTAAAAACGTGTTTCCTTTGTAATCTCAAACAGCCTGTAAACGACCCTGGATTCTGACCAAACATGGCTGACAAGACCTCCTCACCAGGAGTTTAAAAGGTGCTTCTTGTGAACATCCATAGTAATTTTTTAAGCTTATGTATTTTTTATTTTTCTCTCCCAGTCTTTGTTGTGATCTTTTAAAACTTAATTTCTTCTTTTGTTTTTATCTATATTGTTCTTGTGAAGCACCTCGCTTTAACTTGAGAAGCACTAGGGCTGCACAATATATCGCAAGTATATAGTTATCACGATGTCAGCATATGCAATATGCGTATCGCAAAGAACGGATACATATCGCAATGAATGGTCTGTTCAAATGTTTGCTACACATAATGCATTCTGTCAATCAAAAGGAAGCATGATGTTTTAACAAATCAAATAGAGCTCTTCACCCCTTTGGCCAATAGGGTGGGTTCTCATAGGTTAGATGCCCACCCCGACACTTAATTTAGATGGTTAGCAAACACCTGATGTAGCTTTGTTCTGCTCTTTCTGCTGATTCTGCTTTCACCCGGGTCCTCTGATTGCCTTTTCTTGTTCCTTTTCCCTTTTCTCACATATTTTGCTTTTCTCATTTTTATGATTTTTTTGTCTTTTATTTCTTTCTTTGTTTTTGATTATTTTGGTTCCTGAGTTAAGTTTTTATTTATTACACGTAATATCATCATCACAATAATAATCACTGTTATCGCATGTCGCAGGTTTTCCTAATATCGTGCAGCCCTAGAGATGTCATGTAAAAAAAATCCTTTCTTCTTCTTTTCTCTGCCTGCATGCATGCAGGACACTACCGTGATGGAAAAACCCACAGAAACATCTTTGTGAATGAGTTTTGCAGACACTGGAGAGATTTTACTACATTTGCATACTGTCAGACTTGCTATCGCTGTTTTCTTACTTTTGTGCAAGTCTGTTAAGATCAGCTACCGTGTACTGGATGAATGCAGTTGTTAGCAAGATGGTGGCAGAGGAGTTAAGTGCCTGCCCTGTAACCGGAAGGTTGCAAGTGTGAGACCTTCTCAGTCTGTTGCATTCATTATGCAGTGGCGCCCCCAGTGGGTGGCAATGGCCACCCCTGGCCACCCCTTTAAAATTGCTTCCCCCTCAAGGGGAGGACTAGCGCTAATAAGTCATGTTGATTTTCACTCAAAGCATAAATTCATCTCATTTATTCAAGACATAAATGTAACCCCCCCCCCCCCAATATATAATACAATTAACGAGTAAATGAATAATCAGAATAAAAGTATGTTTCTACTGCTCACCATTTAAAAACATTCATATCTCCATAGTTTATTGTGAAGACAGCAACATGTGAATTAAACTAAAAAATAAAATTCTAAAATAAATCTTGAAATAACATTTGAAGTAACTGGGATGCATTTTTCTGATAGGTTTGTGTTTCTCAGATTTTAGTCAAGTGTTTTGGACACATATTGTTTTTTAATAAAAAAGAACAAAGGAGCAATCCATCACCACAGACTAAACTCAGCCAGAG